GAGAGAAACAAATGCTAGTGCTCAGCTCACTCACAGATAGTCGGGGTCTTTCCACCCCACCTCAATCCAGAAACGTCCTCACAGACATGTCTAGAAGATTGTTTCCATGGTGATTCTAAACCACATCAAGTTGATGAGCAGGAAAAACCATGATACCATCGAGGTGTGCGCTTGAAGTTCTTACCCCAGTAAACAGACCCAGGTCCTAGCGACAGCATGTGAGGTCTGAAGAGTCCCACTGAACCTCACTGTGACCATATGTGACATTCTGGTTCTCAGAATTCTTGGGTTCTGTCAAAGCCACTCTGAAGCTGTGGAAGCAGCTGTCGGCAGAATCTGGGGCTGCTGAGAATCAGAGGGAGACAGAGTCAGCTTCAGTTTGCAATGGGGAGCTGTGGGGTGAGTTTGTGGAGACTGTAATAGGGGACCATGTTTATGAAAATAGTTTCATTTTGCCAGCTAATGAATCAACTCACATTCAGACTGGCCCAGAAGCAGGAGGGCTGCAGTTAAAGATCAGCTAATCTTTGATTTTTAGGTAAGGCAGATGGTGTCGTTAAGACAGGGAGCACGGTGTGGAGACTTGTCTCATTTGCAGATGCAAGGAGAAGGGCCAAGCATGTGGGGGGTCTCTTCCCTTGGCTTCTCTGTTGGTGCAGGAGGGATGCAGGTCAAGCTGTCCCAGCATGGAGGAGACAGGCCACTCTTCGATCCTCATCCCAGCTACAGATCTCTTTTTAAATGAGTGACAAGGGAGGCCACCTGTGCAGACTGCAGGTGTGGTATGTGGAGGGAGGACCGGCATGCACCCAGGTACTTGGCTTGGGAAGACATTGGCCTGTTTCCATACTGCTTGGTAAACACTCATTGACATAAGCCTACCTTGCTGTCCCCAGCTCTTTATCTCCCTTGGGAACTTCACAGACTTTCCCAGGATCCAGAAGCTAAAACGTTAATTCCCGGCACAGTAGGTCATACAAAATGATTCTCTCTGTTGCCTTGACTAAGCCTCAGCTGTAAGACTCAGAATTCGGAAAGATTGGTGGCAAAAAAGAGTTTCAGCCCATTTGATAGAATCCATGGTGTGCTGGGAAAATGATGGACAGCCACCTTTTGCTTCTCTCCATTATGAAAGGACTGCAGAGATCTCCCAGGTCATCCACAAAGGGATTCGGCTTCAGCAGAATGCAGAGCCAGCTACACCATTTTGGATGGGCTCTAAGCCATCACATAGTGTGTGTTCCATCAAGTTAAACAGTCACAGAGGGACGACATTCCCGCCCTTCGTCAGGACAGCCAGCATTCCCAGCTGTTTCTATCCTGTGCCTGACATCTCTCAAAGGCTCAGGTTGTGTCACTCAGACCTATTCACCTTGCTGTCTGCAAACTGTGGCATTCTTCTATGGATTGACTCCCGAAATCTGTCTGAGCTCCAAGAAAGGAGTGCTGGTCTCCTTATAACCATTTAATCTTAAAACATAGGTGCATCAGTGTTCCCTGATTCCACAAGGGATCAGAAATCAGGAGATCAATTCAGTGAGACCCAGACCTGGCATCATCCAGGTTTAATGCAGATGGTCCCCGAGCCCCACTTACCACAAGGGTGTGTGGTTAGTCCCATTGAGCCCTAGAAAGGTAATAGCTTACCTCAGCACACATAGCTTCAAAGTTTCAAAGTCTTGTAGCTAAACAACCAAATAATACCCCTAGCTATTAACCATTACGTAAAGCACTGTTCTCAGGGGTTCTGGAATGATCTGAGAAACCCCAATCGTGAAACATTGAAAAAAGAGCAAAAGGCACGTGGAACTTGTGAGTTAAGCACAAATCTAAGCTGGAAGGGCCTTGGTGGCTCTCAGGTTGCCTTAGACAGGGTTCTTTAGAAGAATAGACCAATAAAGTACATGGGATTTGTTGGATTGGTTCACGTGACAGGGTGATGGATAGACCAACAGTGACAGAGTGTATGCTGGAGACACAGAGATCACTGCAGTTACTCACTCTAAGAAGCCATCTGCCTCAACAGTTCTAATGCAGTGCTGAAACCCTCAGAAGCTCCCTGGAGAGGTTCTGCTATTGAATCCATGTTGAAAAGCCGATGGAGCTGGAGTCTAAAGTCTGTGGGCAATGCCAGCTGCTGTAGGCATGCACAGGAGGAAAGGGGACTGGCACACGTGCCCATAGTGCCTTCTCCAGCCCATTGGATGGTGCCACCCTTGCTCAGGGTCGATATCTCCCCTTGCTCACGTGTGATCTTAGTTACTTTTCTATTGCTGTGATAAGACACCATGATCAAGGCAACTTACAGAAGAAAGAGTTTACCTAGGGCTTACGGTTTCTGAGGGTTAGACTCCATGACCGTTATGTCAGGGACCGTAGTACCAGTCAGGCAGGCACGGCACTAGAACAGTAGCTGGGAGCTTGCATCTTGATGCACAAGCATGGGGGAGAGAGAGAGAGAGAGAGAGAGAGAGAGAGAGAGAGAGAGGGGGGGGGGGGGGGGGGAGAGAGAGAGAGAGAGAGAGAGAGAGAGAGAGAGAGAGAGAGAGTGGGAATGGCACAACTCAAAGCCAACCTCCAGTGATGTATCTCCTCCAACAAGGAGGTCACATCTTCTCATCCTTCCCAAACAGTTTCACCAACTGGGAACCATGTATTCAGACAGATGAGCCTATGGGGGCCATTCTCAGTCCATCACACATGTCAGTCCCCACAAACACTCATGTAAGGTTCAACCACTCTAAACACCTCGGAACCCAAGCCTGAGTTGACAGCCAAGGCCAACCAGCACGCATAGGAAACAAGTTTGTCCGCAAGAAGCCTGGAGAAGGTCCCCTTGGTCCAACGCTCTCCCAGTTACCTTGCTGTCTGGTCTACAGTGTCTAGCATCAGCTTCAGGCCCAGCACCAGTGTGTTCAAGCTCTCCAGCAGTAGCTTTCTGCTGACATTGTGTGCATGTGGAAAGGAAGGTCAGCAAGCACAGATGGGACGGCCCTAGACCACTCGGTGGGCTTCTCAAGACTTCCAGCTTCCCCGCTGCCTTTTTCCTTTTGGATTTCATCTCTTCCGTTTAGAGTAAATATTATTTTCCCTGATGACCTTGTTAAATCAGATTCATCCTTTCTGGGTCATTTTTCTTTCCTCCTTTTAAAACTAACCATTTATGTTCCTTTGGTAGCACATATATATTAACCTAGAATAATACAGAGACCATCAGCATGGCCTCCCCCTAGGATGGCACACACAAATTCATAAAGGGATCCATTTATGTATCCAGGTAAGAATCAATTAAAACACAAATCTAACTACCAGTTGAGTCAATAAATCGGTCCTCTGATTTATTTGTCAGCGCCACAAAAATGCCTTTACATATTCGAAGTCATCTCTTTGGCCCTCCATATTGGTGAGAAGCTGTCCCTGTGGCAGACCTTGGAGATCAGAGAACGCGCCGTAAGCATCGTCATCCCCTCAGCTCCTGCATGTACCTCACTGCAGACATCCAGGAGTTCCTCTCCTGTCCACTTTAAACCCATCCATGGCAACGCTGGACCACTCCCGCTTATCTGTGCTGTGCAGAGACAGAGAGAAGCAAACCGTCCTCACCCTAGAAACAAATCTTCATTTTCTCAAATTTCAATTATGAGTCTTTTCAATGCTTCTTTCAATGGGCAAGAACACAAAAGTGTCTTTTCAAAAACTTTCTTCTTGGTACTCATGGAAGGCATTCCTGGATGAATTGAATACCGTCAGCACACTCACGGGTTTGGAAGTTTACAAGGCAGTTAGCTTTTCGGAGAGGCTCACCAGTCTGCCTACCATGGGCAAGAAAGAATTAAATGACACATAATGGCTTATGCTAGAAAGCAAAGAAAATGCTAAGTAGCTGCTGAAGGCATGCCTAAGGGACGGTAGGAAAGGCTTGGAGGGTTGTATAGGCGTCTGCTCAGGCCGCCCTGACAAAACACACAGACGGGATAGAGGAGGCCAAGGGATTTATTTAGCCACAGACATGGAGGCTGGAAATCCAAATAAGATGTCTGCAGAGTTGGTTTCTCCTGCAGGCCCTCTCCTCAGCTTGTAGACACTTCCTTCTAGTGTCCTCACATGGCCTTTCCTCCGTGTGTACACTGTCTCTTTTTATAATTGTTTATATAAGCTGCTGTTTGCAGCTGTCACACTCCGGGCTCCTATAAGGAAGGGACCTGGCTGGTCTAAGGGTCTGCTGTCTTCCTCATCTCATAACAACGTCAGGGTTATTAGATAAGGTCCCCGGCATAGAAGCACACTTAACCTGGATGACCTCTGAAAACACATTATCTTCGAATAAGTCACATTAGGATGAGGGTTTCAATATGTGAATATGGGGCCACGGTGCAGCCCATGATAGCCCTTGTTCTGTGTTGCTGCCCAAGGCCTGCTATGTGAGCAAAACCAGGTCAATAAAGCACTCTGGATGTCACAGTATGGAGAGCAAAGTAGGTGAGGGTTGGCATATATAATGACACACATAGCTGGCTTTGACTCCTCGTTGCCTCGGGGGCTGAATGTAAGCACATTCTGTTCAGACAGGTTGGTCCCCCTGTCCATTTCTATTGTTTGACCTATTTCTCCTGTTAACTGTTTCATAGAGCAGACTGGACTGGAGGGCAGCGGAGTGTGACAATACTTGGGAGGTCCTGCTCCTGCGCGGACATAGATTTCACCTTTAGGCTTCCTCCTGACCCTGAAGGAGAGGATCCTTGGATCATAGGCCGCAGTCTAAAGTGCAACCCATCCTCCACTAGGGCCAGAGCTGCCCCCGTGTCCCAACAGTTGAATTCTCAGTGTTTCATGGCACCCCAATGCTGAATCCCCAAAGTCAGCTTGAAAGGATTCTCACAGTAAAGATAACACAGAAAATGGAGCCTGGGTGATAAATCAGAAATATAGAATCTCTAAGACAAGTATTTCCCCATCTTTCCTTTTTTTTTTAAATTATAAAGCAAGCAGAGAAAATCATCTACAACAACAGAATAATTACACTTTTTTTTGCACTTCCGTCCATTGTTCTCCATCCTCCTATCTGTATCTATCATTTCAACATAGGATACAGGGGATTCTGTTCTGCTTACTCTCCTTAACCTTGGTTGTACAAATTCTTGAGAAGTGGTACCCACAAAGCCTGGATGACTTTGTGACCACTCTGGAAGCAATACCACACAGCAAAGAGACGCTGTTTACGTTTCAAGTGCAGACCAGAAAATGTCACCAAGTCTCAGTCTGTTCTTTTGGGACCTTAGTTTCAGGGGATATGAGCACTGCAGAGGAAGGCTGTCTGTCCTGAGACTGCCTAGCCACAGAGTCCGCATGCCAGCAGAGTGCTGGACAGCCAGGCTCGTAGCTGACGGCTAGGGTCAAATCCTGACTGTGGGAGTGGGCCATCTCACACTGCCAGTTCCGTCAACTCAGTTGGTATTTGCAGCCCCAGCTGACATCTTGCCTCTACTGCATGAATGACCTCCATGGAGAGAGGCTCAGCTGAGCCCTTTTCAAATTTCTGAAGCTCAAAATTACCAGCAAAATAAAATGGTTGTTTTAAGCCAGGACACTTAGAGAAAAATTTTCACATGGTGATAATAACCAAAGTGAATTTTGGTATCTGCAGATGAGGGGTTGCTATAATAAAAAAAAAAAAATGAAAGCACATGGTGTCATCTTTGAGATCAGACTGCAGGCAAAGGCTGAGAGAACTGAAATCTGATAGCAGTCGGGGTGGTTATCAGTGAGAGCTTCTGGGAAAGCCAGAGAAACATTACAAGAATTGTAGGCAAAGGAGATCTTTGTTATACAGTGGGAGAAAGCTCCACAAAAGTGTCGCCTGCAGTATGGGAAGTAGAAAATGTACCAAATGAACTCTGTAGTCCCCTAAAAGGAGGTATCCAGGCAGCATGTGGAAGATGCCAACAGTAAAAGGAGAAAGGACGGGCCAGCAAGATGGCTGTGGGTGAAGATGCTTGCCTTCAAGTCGGATGGCCTAAATTCGATCCGTAGGATACACATGGTCAGAGTAGAGAACCAACTCCTTTGAGTTATCCTCTGACCTCCACATGCACAGCATACAATGTGTGCACACACACACAAAATAGAAAACTAATAAAGTTGAAAAAATAGAAAAGAGAGCTGCAAAAACACAAGCAAAGAGGAAAAAGGAAAAGTTCTTTTGTTTTCAATTAAAACTTGTAAGAAGTATAAAGGTATTACTAGAATATTTTTGCTTTAGTTATGTGTATATGCACATATATGTATATGTACACACACATATATGTAGCATGAACACATGCATGCAGGTGCCCCACAGAGACCAGAAGAGGGCATTAGTTCTCCTAGAGCTGGGTTAAGAAGAATAGGAAGTACTCTTAAGGACTGCGTTGTCTCTCTAGCCCCACCTAAGCAATTTTTGAAAAGGCCTTGCGTTCCCGTGCCAGTCTTCCCATTGGCCAGTGAAGTTTACCCTCTTCTTTAGTTTTGGCCAGGCTTAGTGACACACTTGTGACCAGAAGAACATAATGCTACATAGCTTCTAGATGAGATCAACAACAGCCATGATGGTCTTAGAGCAGCAGCCTTGGTAGCAACCAAATCTGGTGACCAGCAGAAGCTGCCATGTCAGAGAGGCTGAAGGTAGGAGCTCTGGCCATGTCCTAGCTAAGCTTGCAGTTGACAGCTGTCCAGCTGAAACATCTGTGAGCCACCGTGGACAGAGAGCCAGGTCAAGCCGCCCATTGACGACAGCCATGCTGGAGATATAGACACAGTCCTTAACACACTCCAAGCAGGAGCTTGAACTCCTTCTGAGTTCCTGCTCAAAAAAAAAAAAAAAAAAAAAAAAACTGTGAACAAAGCAAAATGATTGCTTCAAGCTGCTATGTTTTGAGGTAATTTTGTTATGCACCAAGCAACTGGGACACGTTGCTACACAGCCTTCTTAAATAGCCTTTAAGTCACTGCAGCTGCTTTGGAGAGAGGGGTTCCTCTCCAATATATGTGATAAAAGCAATCACCTCCTTCCTTTCCTTCAGTAAGGACAATAAGAACCAAGCGAAAAAGAATGAATATTTGTTTAACTTCTAATCCTCATGGCCAAATTATTCATAAGAAAGATAGTTTGCCGCCAAGAGCTTACAGGCATGGCAGTTGATTGCGACTTCACCAGCTTTGGGTATTGTAATTTTAAACCATATTTAAAAGCATCACAAATTCCAAAGCAGTTCTCATGTAACTGCTGTAAAGTTCTATTATTCCAGTCCTGGGAGAGAATCCGTTCAAGCTATAGCCAGAGCCTCTGTAGCTCAGTCTAACCCTGCCTCTGCCCCTCCCCCTCTCTTAAATCTGGTTAGTGCTTTTGTTTCTTTCAACACAACTTGTCTGTTGCATTCCCTGCCTGTCCCGGAGAGTCAGCCGAGGAGACACTGCTCCATGACTCCCACAAATCATTCTGACGTTTGTGTGGGGGTTTTGTCCATCCTGACACCAACTTACCGTTGACAGAGAATTTGCTCTGGGTCATCACAGACGATCTCATCCATTCTCTTAACCATTGTGCAAATTAATTTTTAAAAATGTATTCTCTCTTTCTCCCCTTCCCCCCTTCCTTCCCTCCTTCCCTCCATGTGTGCACAGGCCAGATGTTATCTCCAGGTGTCTTCCTCAATTGCTCTCCACTTTATTTTTGGAGGTGGAGTCTGTCACAGAGCCCAAAGTGCTCTAACTCTGCTAGCTAGACTGACTAGCCTTGGTGCTTTCCTGTCTCTGCCTCCCCAGCACTGGGATTACAGACCCACACCACCATGTCAGGTCAACATGCTTGCCCAGCAAGTACTTTATCAGCTGAGCCATCTCCCCAACCCTACAAAGTAGTTTTTTATCCTCTACGTTGAGATGGAGCTACTAAACCTCGGTGATAGTGGCATGCCTTGTGACAGATGGGACCAGGATCTGGCCCGTGGTTTTGACCCCTGGACTCTACTCCTCACCAGGATCATGAGTCCAAGTACTGAATTCTCACTTATTAAGACTCCCAAAGAGAAACTAGGAAGTGTCAGAAATCCCTATTAACTCCTTTCAAATACTGTCCGCATCTTCCAAACACTGACCCGACTTCCATTTATTAACTGCTTCAATTCAAAAATCAATGTCTAAGTTATGACTGCTTCCATATTTCTGTGGGACAATAGCCTTAAAATAGTCTTGGTGAATACTTGGTTAGATATTATTTGGAAGAAATAAAAGTGACCATGTCTGTATTCATGTAAGAATATCATTAGGGAAAATGTATTCATTACAGAACTTTTTATATTTCTTAGATAACATGAGAAGAGAAATATTTTGAATTTAAAGTTAAGTCCACTTTTCTCTGGTTCTTCATATTTCTTCTTCCTCAAAAGAAAAGTTGAAACCAAAAGAAAACCCCTTGAAGAGACTGGAGAGCAAGCTGTAGACACGACTTCACATCTCGAAAATGTGAGGTCCTGGGAAGCAGGAAGCGAGGATTCTGCCCCTTGCTATGTCTTTTGTACTTCAACAGCGCCAAGTACACATATTTGTGGAACAAATGCACAGACCATCTAGCTTCCTACCCAACATCCTCCTGATTTCTACGACCAGAGCATTTGTTCTGCAGCACCAGGCACAGCATCTTCTGTGGGACCAATTGTAGGGTCTTAAAATAGTCAAAGCCTGGCTCTTTTCCTCCTACTGGGTTGCTTCATCCAGTCTTAATATGAGGGGACATGTCTAGTCTTATTGCAACTTGATATGCCATGTTTGGTTGATAACCCTGGGAGGCATGCTCCTTTATGACAGGAAACAGAGGATCTGGGGGGAGATGGGAGATGGTCGGGGGAGGGACTGGAGGAGAGGAAGGAGGGGAAATTGCAGGTAGAATGTAATATATAAAATAATAATAATAATAACAATAAAGTATCAAGATAAAAAAATAGTAAAAACTTGGCTCCCAGGCTAGCCCCTGGGTACCTCAGACCTCATGCCACACCCATGGAACCAGTTTTTGCATTTTAATAGAATCTCCACACTGAAGTTTTCACGTAGTGCCTGGACTAGTGTGGACCCTGCACCAGCATCATCTGTATCTGTGGTGGTTTGAAAGATAGTGGCCCCCGTAGGGAGTGGCACTATTTGGAGGTGTGGCTTTGTTGGAGTAGGTGTGATCTTGTTGGAGGAAGTGTGTCACCGAGGGGGCAGACTTTGAGGTCTCCTATGCTCAAGCTTTGCTCAGTGTGGCACACAGCTGTGCTTCCTGTTGCCTGTGGATCTGGATGTAGAACTCTCAGCTCCTTCTGCAGTATCATGTCTGCCTGCATGTCGCCATGTTGCACCATGAAGATAATGGACTAAACCTCCAAAACTTGTAAGACTTCCACACCAACTAAATGTTTTCCTTTGAAAAAGTCATTGTGGTCATGGTGTCTCTTCACAGCAATAGAAACCCTAAGACAGATTCCTTTGTGAACCTGCTAGAATGTTGATTGCATCAACAATTGTTGGCTCAGGTGCAGAGACACGTGCTTGTAGCCTCCAGGTGTTCTGGTGCCTACTACCATTTGAAAACCACCTTCCCAAATTCAGTCTCAACCAACTTGACCCTGAACTCCCCTTAGATCTGAGCTTTCAGTTGTAGTGAACGAGCTGTTTTCTTATCTCCCATGACCAAACCATTGGCTTGAGCCTCTCCAGCATAGGGAAATCAGTTTCTCTTAAACCTTTATACTCAAAATTTGAGTAGCTCTGAAAAATTTTCCCTACTAATTGTATGCCATATGATATACCTAAGCACAATGAGTAGTTATCTCATTCTTCTGACACAACCCTGAAGAGCCCCCATGTAGCATGCTGGTGATGGACTCCAGAACATATGGACAGGTCATGTCAGTGTTATCAAAGGCTGTGAATAGAGCTATTCCTTACCAAAGGTAGCCAGTGGCAGGAGCAAAGAAATCCGAGAAGCAATCCATGCTCTCCTCCCCAAGCAGTTCATCTACAGAACTGCATTTTGCAGTAGGGTGTTGTTTTCTAACTGACCTCAAGGTACTGCACCTGCCATCTGTGGCCCTGACTCTTGCCCCTACAACTTACAATCGCTTAGATAGCTAAGCACACCACAGTGCTACTCTCCAAGATTCAAACAGCGCACACGGGTCTGGCATTTTCCATGGCTGTGCTTGCCCATCTTGACTACAGCTGCTGGATTACTCTCGTCTACTGATTCAGGCTGACAGTCATCGGGCTGCTCTCTCTTAAAATTCCTGGCCTTTCCTCCAGGTGTACTGATCGTCTTTCAATTGTCAGCTATTTGAACTCTTTACAGTTTTGTGAGTATGTCTTCTAGTTTTGAGAGCCTCATAGTTCTCCAAATTTGTTAAACCAAACCCCTAAATATTCTTGAGCAAAGGGATGCGCAGAATTCACAGGGGTGCTCTATAAATAGGATTTGTGTTTTCTAAATGGAAAACACGCATTTGCTATTACAGGTTACAACCTGAAAAAAAAAAGTGTTGAGTTTAGTTTTTAAAATAGTAAATGAGCAAATACTTACATATACATGCAAGCAATTATCCACCCATTGCCACCCTGCCACTTGCTGACATAAGTATTTGTAATTATCTTCACAATGATCTGTCCTTTGACTGGGATTACAAGGCAATAACCTATTTCCAGGTAACGTTTGGGAAACGTGTGTAAGTCTTTTCTGTAGTGGGATATGAAACTAAAATGTGTCTTCTTACAGGTTTGCTCTATGGATCCTGGACCTGTCTCTGGAGAGAACAAACTTTATCCTTTTCCCACATATAAATCTCGCAGAAGTTTGTAAACATCCGTATCCCTCTGCACCTCTGCTACCTCCCCTCTAAAGTTAACATTCTCCCATCGTTCATCACGTGACAGCGTCAATTTACCACCTTGACTGTCCTTTGACTTGCCCTTTTGAGTGATTGTCTACAGCATATAAAATGTGGGGTATCTAAAATGAAGATATAATGAAAGGTGTGTGTGTGTGTGTGCATGAATTCCACATATGTATGCAGGTACTCACATCGGCCAGAGGAGGTCATCATCAAATGCCCTAGGGCTGAAATTTCAGGCAGTTGTGAACTCTTTGATGTGGGTGCTAGGAACTAACTATGGTCCTCTGCAACAGCAAGAGTATTCTTAACCAGTGAGCCATCTCTCCAGCCCTGAGACATAATTTTGAATTATGTGAAAAGGTTGAAGCACAGAAACCATGACTGCCTCCTTATGGTTTGGAGGTAGGATACACATGTTGAAAGCTTGATCCCCAGTATGCAATGTTAAAAGGTGGTTGAAGCTTTAAGAGACAAAGCTTAGGGTGAAATCACTGGAGGGCTCAAGGTTGATCTCACGGGAGCCCTGAATTTGTCCTCACATTGCTTATTGTTATAAACAGTAAGCCCGGCCCTTGAGTCATTCTCTAGCTTCCTGTCTTGCCAAAGGCATTTTCCATCTCACATATGAACCTGCCCTTGTAGTGCAAGCTGTCACCGTGACATCATCTACCCTGAAACACTGGAGCAGAAGCCAGCACCACATCCCTGAACATCTAGAACACAGAATAAAATAAGGCTCTTCTTGTACAATACCCACCTGTAAGTATTTTGTTATAGCAGTTATAAGTAGTTATCTCATTCTTCTGACACAACCCTGAAGAGCCCCCATATAGCATGCTGGTGATGGACTCCAGAACATATGGACAGGTCATGTCAATGTTATCAAAGGTTGTGAACAGACCTATTCCTTACCAAAGGTGGCCAGTGGCAGGAGCAAAGAAATCTGAGAGGCAATCCATGCTCTCCTCCCCAAGCAGTTCATCTACAGAACGGCCTTTTGGACTAATACATGGCTTTCATTAAATGCAGTCACATACTTACCATAACAGAAGGAATGCTTCCATTAACGCTGCTTGGTAGGCCAGCTTGATCATTTATCAGCACATCCTGCTTCTGGTCACAGCAAACAAAAACCGCACATCGTTGTGATACACAGTATCAACAGAGAAGCCATTGTTACTCAACTCCCCTTTGAATGGTTCTTTGTACCACAGACTTCTGGGACTTTTCCCTTTCCCCTTGAGCCTCCTAACTTTCTAGAAAAGACAACCAGCAGCCACTCTCACTATGGCCACATTCCCAGGTCCTGCCACAATCCTTTCTCACGACAGTCCAGGACATCCTTCCTAACTATTGCTGGCTGCTCATTTACCAGCAGATTTGAAAACCCGGTTTTAAACAAGAGCTACAAAAAAAGCCATGCTATGTATGAGGAAATCTGGTGACGATGATTTGTTATTATTACTGCTATTCCCAGCCCAGATGGTTCTCCAGATGAAATGGATAAAAACTGGAGCCTCTCTGTGGCTGGTGACAGGTGCAGATGTGGCCCCTCCGGTGGGATTTCATCAGGCACGCAGCTCACCACTGGGGCAGGAGCCTCCCACAGGCCTGTGTGTATTGTAGCAGTCCCCAAAAACTGTCAAGTGAATAATTGGCCTCTCATCTGAAGTCTTTAGAAGATTCCCTTCTGCACGTCCTTTGAAAGGCTGCATCCATCAGGCCCTTTGTTTGCAAGCAACAGAAACAGGCGCTGGCTAGCTTGAACAGGAACGGCGTTTATTGGGGAGACATGGGGGTCCTTCTAGAAACGGATGGAAGGCCAGCAAGCCAGCCTTTGAACACGTTGAGAACCAAGAGAGCCCTTGCAAGGGAGGAAGCAGGCATTTAGAATCTTGTCAGGACACTGAAAATTAACCAAACACATACAAAACCTTTCATTCTCAAAACCTGCTGACTGAGGGTGGTAGGACTCCATGATGTCTTAGCCTGGGCAGTCTCAATCTCCCTGTCAGTTACAGGAGCATGGTAGGTCTAACAGAGCAAGGCATGCTATGAAAAGCAACAGCTGAGGCTGGGAAATGGCTCCGTGGTCAAAGTGCTTGCCGTCTAAGCATGAAGACCTGAGTTCAGATCACTTAAGAGCTGGGCGTAGAGCTGTACGCATCTGTCACTTAGCACTGGGGAAGTGCAGACCGACAAGCCCAAGGGCTGCTGCCCAGCCAATCTAGATGTAAAGGAGAGCTCCAGGTTCAGTGAGAGACCCTGTCTTAAAAATGAAGGTGGAGGACAATAGAAGACATCAACCTCGGGCTTCCACGTACACCTGTACTCACACATGCACACATGCATACATCACACACACACACACACACACACACACACACTCACTCACTCACTCACTCACTCATCCACACACACATAGCAATAGCTGGTCTACCTGGGGAGGCTGACTTGACTTAGAGTAGACCATAGAAGAAGCCATGCTTCCAGACATCAGGGAGAACTATGTTGATTGACAGCATGTATGACAGTTGTAAGCAGATGGAGACAGACCCATACTGCAGTGACTCTAAGGTTACAATGACAAATAGGAGACTGGAAATCTAGACAGAATTTGAGAGGGGCTTCTAAAAAGCTGAGCATCCATTTCAGGCCTTGTTGATGGGTTGAGGTCTGAAAGGCTATGGCCTTTGCAGGGCTGAAGGCATGCTCACAAGCGATTGAAAAGGCGTCTCCAGCTACTGGCACATCGCTGACTAAATATGAAACCCCGTGTCCTAGCAGAGAAGACACAAATGCCCAGCAGAAAGGAAGCACAAGGGCAGAATTTTAAATTTTACTTGAAATTTGAATGCAACAAAAGGTAGAAGTCTTCCAGTCATGATAGAGGTGAACACAACCCCTAGTCGACTGGCAAGCCATGGGGAATCAAGGGCTAATGGTAGGAAACACGGTTAGAAATAAAAACAAAAACAAAGAAGGAAAAGGAGGAGGAGGAGGAAGCTTAGCAAAGACATGAGCAGCATGCTCTATGGCAGAGTGACTCCACGGTCTCACTACAAATAAACAACAACAAAACAAACAAACAGAAAGAGTGTAATAGCTCCGAGAGGGTGTGAAAAAATCACAGAGGAGTGGCTTCAACAGCTTGTCTAAAATTTCTAGTTTTCAGTTAAAAATTACTAGATTCGCATAGAAGCAGAAAGTGAAAAGAAGCCCAGGGAAAAGGCTGTCGGTAGAAAATGTTTCTGGGAGGTCCTCGGAGATGTTGGACTTCAGAAAAATGTCACAGAGCATTGAACAAATGTGTTCAAGAACCAAAGGAAATTGTATTAAGAGAAAAGGTGATGACAGTGATTTATCAGAGGTCAACAAACAATATCTGTTAATATTTGTATTAATTCTTTGAGAAATTCATCAAGCTTACAAAGTATTTTTGCTTATATTCATCCTCTCCTCCTTCCCCCAACTTCTCTCAGATCTACCCAACCCCCTTCCAACTTCCTGTCCTATTTTTAAAGCTAATCTACCAAATCCATTTTGTGCTATTTGTTCATTCATGGGTATTGGGCCATCCATTGGCACATGGCTGACCTATGAGGGACCACACTCTTAAAGAAAGATGACTCAGTGTCTCCCCAGACACCCTCTGCTGCCAATAGTTCCTCAGCAAAGTGTGGGACCTCATGAGCTCTTCTTTCCTCCAGGTTGGCATCTTGATTGGCTTGACCTTGTGCTGGTCTTATGTTGTGAGGTAACTATACCAGAGAATGCACATGGACCCCTAAAGTTCAATAGAAAGTCTTTATAGCTGACCAGGGGCTGTACTGGGGAATTTGCCCAAATCATGTAGCCCTAAGACTTACTGTTCTTAGCTTCTTAAGCATAAAACCACATCATGGGTTGACACCTTCAGTTAACAAGAACAGTTAGTAAGAAATGGAACAACAGAAGCCAAACAAAGTAAGGTTAGTACACTTAGGAACTTTCCCAGAACTGTGGACTATGGTGTATTGGGTCATTGTTCTTGTTTTGGCAAGTGTTAGAGTCTACATGCTGGGTTCTTAGGTCAGAATGGTGCCTCTAACATGGCATCAGTTGCGCTGAGGTCTGGGGATCTGTTACACTTGCACAGGAAACCACAGCTGCAGTATTCATGAGTGCAGAGGTCCTATCATGTCCAGAAGACACTGTTTCAGTCCACTCCTCTCTGACCTCTGGCCCTTACAATCTTCCCATGCCCTCTTCCTTGATAATTCCTTAGCCCTGGGGGGTTGGTGTTGATATAGCTATCCCATTATCCCATTTGTGGTTGAACAATCCCTAATCACTTATTTCCTGTGTTTTGGCCAGCTGTGAGCCCCTGTGTTAACTGTCTTCTGACGCCCAAAGAAATTTCTCTGATGAGGTCAGAGCTGCACTAATCTATGGGTATAGAGATATAACTTTAGAGGGCAGTTTGATACTACATCCATGTAGCAAAATAGTAACAGTAGATTCACCCCTGGCTCTGTGAGATCTCCAACCATGGGTTCTTGGAATACAGTACTAGGCATGTTTCCTGTGGACTGGGCCTTAATCAGATCAGAAAGTGTATTGGTTACCCCATAACACTCATACCACTATTGCATCTATGGGAATATCTTGACAAACTGGTTGGTACTGAAGCTCATGGGCTTCATAGCTAGGTAAGACTTTTGAGGACTTTCCCCCTAGAAACCTGAACAATAACTTCTAATACTATGAAATCTCACCAGCATGGAGAAAGTGTCCTGGTGGTACCAATTTATGGGTAGCAGAATAAGACTGATATGAAGGGCAGAATTCAAGTAATGGCAATGGAGATTTAAACAGGGAGGAGACTGAGAAGGGAAGGAAGAAGAGGGGAAAGGAGAGGAGAGAGATAACTAATGCTAAGAATGTTTTTAAAGGCCATAGGCAAGGTGTTGTGGGTTTATCTTCACATTCACTGGTTTATTAATTATGCTGTTTCAAATATGAAGTTGAACCTCTGTGGTCAAGGTTCCACTTCACTCAGTTTATTTTCCACTGCAAATCTGCCATTTGGTTCTTTTAAAAAGATAGTATTGAAGCCTGTTGTTTTATAACACACACACACACACACACACACACACACACACACACACACACACACACACACACACACACCACTGAGGAAAGATATAGAAAAGCAATAATGAGAAACCCAATATCAACCAAGCTGCACTCGGCTACAAATCGCAGGAAACCCAGTCCCCAGTGTTGACACAACAGAGGACACATTCTCTGATGTTACAGGAAACTTAGAGGCTGGGGAGTTCCCAAGTTGATTCATGCTGGAGTTCTCCAGAGTCACCCATGACCCAGATGCTCTTGGATTGCATGGTCACCCCGTGTCCTTGTGGGCACTGCAATGCCAAAATCTACACAGTGACACCAAACCTTCACACACTGTTTAGGCTGCCCTAGCAGAGTACCACAGATGGGTGGCAAAGGTAGTAGACATGCATTGCCTCATTGCCTCACAGTTCTGGAGGGCAGAAGGCCAAGGTCAATGTGTTTTTAGGACATTTTTTTTTCTTAATAGGGTTCTGAAAAAATGTGTTCCAGGCCTTTCTCTAAGAGTTGAGTAAATCTTGGTTTTCCTTGGCTTACAGCTACATAACCCCAGGTTCTCCTGACATCTAGGTCATGGGTCACTGTGTCCAAATCCCCCTTCTATAAGGACCTGAGTTATATTGTCTTAAGGACATAGTCTGGTCTGGGATGGCCTCACTTTAATTAATCGTATCAGTAATGAAGACATCCCAAATAACATTAGGTTTTTGAGCACCCAGAGTTAGGACTTAAGTATATATTTTGAGAGGCACAGTCCAAACCCATAGCACCTCAAGGCAAATCAAGTGTGATGGTTAATTTTACATGCTAATACGGTGGGGCAGAGGTCCAAGATATTTAGTCAATCACTCTTCCGGTCTTTTTGGTGGAGATTAAAGTATGTGGTAGGTACACTGAGATCTCAATGTAAGGTGTGTAATAGGTACACTGAGGTACCTGTGGGAGGTCCTCATCCAACCAAAGGCCTGAGCAGAACAAAATGACTGGCTGACCTTCCCATGATGAAGGAGCATTCTTTTGACCCATCTGCCTTCAAACTGCAATAGTTGCTTATTTTCCCATCTGTCTGACTCTGGCTG